TGGGAGACCGGCCTGGCTAACATGTCAACCAAAAAACCCAAAAATTAGCTGGGCATGGTGGTGCATGCTGCTTGTCCTAGCTATTCAGGAGGCTGTGGCATGAGAATACCTTGAACACAGGAGGCAGAGGTTGCAGTGAGCCAAGATGGCACCATTGCACTCCAGCCTGGGTGACAGTGAAATTCTCTTGTCTCAAAGAAAAAAAAAATGAGTAGTGGAATCTGGATTTGACCTTGAACAACCTGTAGAAAGCCAACACCTCATTCACCAGGCCACCAGGCAGGGGAACTGGTTCCCAGGTTTTCTCTTGGAAACCTGAATTCAGTGGCTCACAACTGTAATCCCAGTTATTTTGGGAACTGAGGCAGGAGACTCAAGACTTGAGTCCAGGAGTTCAGCCCAGCCTGGGCAACACAGGCTCTGTATCTGCAAAGCATAAACATTAGGCTGGGTGCGGTAGCTCATGCCTGTAAACCCGGCACTTTGGGAGGCTGAGGTGAGCGAATCGCAAGGTCAGGAGATCGGGACCATCCTGGCAAGCTGGGTGTGCTAGCGAGAGCCTGTAGTCCCAGCTACTCGGGACTCAGGAGACTGAGGCAGGAGACTTGCTTGAACTTGGGAGACAGAGGTTGCAGTGAGCCGAGATTGCGCCACTGCACTCCAGCCTGGGCAACAGAGTGAGACTCTGTCTCAAAAAAAAAGAAAAAAGAAAGAAAAATACAAACATTAGCCAGGCATGGTGGCTCACGCCTGTAGTCCCAGCTACTCTGGGAGCTGAGGTGGAAGGACTCCTTGAGCCCAGGAGTTTGAGGCTACTGTGAGCTATGAGCACACCCTGCATTCCAGCCTGAGTGACAAAGCAAGACCCTGCCTCAGAAAAAACTTAAGAGATTTTCTCTTAGAAGTCACTTAACTTGCTGTGAATCTTCCCTTTTTCCTTGAGCTAATGAGGGAGGTTGCCCGTCCGATCTCCTTACACCCGAATTGAACATGTTGCTTTTCCTTAGATATCCTTGATCCCTGGCCAGTCTAGACCCTACTGGGTTGATGAGTAAGTTTCTTTTCTTTTTTAGACTGAGTCTCACTCTGTCACCCAGGCTGGAGTGTAGTGGGGCAATCTCGGTTCACTGCAACCTCCGACTCCTGGGTTCAATAGATTCTCCTGCCTCGGCCTCCTGAGTAGCTGGGATTACAAGCACGCGCGACCATGCCTGGCTAATTTTTTTGTATTTTTAGTAGAGATGGGTTTCGCTCTGCCACCCAGGCTAGACGCTACCTCCTGACCTCAGGTGATTTTTCTGCCTTGGCCTCCAGAAGTGCCGGGATCACAGGCGTGAGCCACAGTGCCCGGCCGAGTAAGGTTTTTTAAGGGCTTTGTGAACGACTTTGAACTGGATGCCAAGTGTCTGCCAGTGAATTGATGTGTTTTTTGGGGAAAGCATCTGCAGCTTTTGGCATATTCTTGAGAAGAGCTGAGTTAGAGTTCTCCTGACTATGCTGTTCTCAGCCTTGCTATCTCTCTCCGGCAAATTTTTTTTTTAATTTTTATTTATTTATTTTTGAGATGGAGTCTCACTGTCACCCAGGCTGGAGAGCAATGGCATGATTTCGGCTCACTGCAACCTCTGCCTCCGGGTTCAAGCAGTTCTCCTGCCTCAGCCTCCCAAGTAGCTGGGATTACAGGGACACACCACCATGCCCAGCTAATTTTTTTTTTTTTTTGAAACGGAGTCTCCTCTCACCTCTGCTTCCCAAAGTGCTAGGATTACAGGCATGAGCCACCGTGCCCAGTCTTTTGTTTTTGTTCTTTTATTTTATTTTTTTTATTTTTTATTTTTTTGAGACAGAGTTTCGCTCTTGTTGCCCAGGCTGGAGTGCAATGGCGCGATCTCGGCTCACTGCAACCTCTGCCTCCTGGGTTCAGGCAATTCTCCTGCCTCAGCCTCCTGAGTAGCTGGGATTACAGGCATGCGCCACCATGCCCAGCTAATTTTTTGTATTTTTAGTAGAGACAGGGTTTCACCATGTCGATCAGGATGGTCTCGATCTCTTGACCTCGTGATCCACCCGCCTCGGCCTCCCAAAGTGCTGGGATTACAGGCTTGAGCCACCGCGCCCGGCTGTTCTTTTATTTGACACAGGGTTCCACCATGTAGGCCAGGCCAGTCTCGAACTCCTGACCTCTAGTGATCCACCCACCTAGGCCTCCCAAAGTGCTGGAATTAAAGGGGTGATCCACAGAGCCCAGCCACACTACTTTATTTTTAACTGGAAGCAGCTTTCCTGTGGCAGTCCTCTAAACATGTATTTTTATTAAAGTGTGTAAAACCTTTCTAGGAAAGATAAAAGTGAATTTTACAAATTCTGTTTCTGAATGAAATGACAATATCAAAATTTGAACAACCCCTTAAGCTACGGAGTTTTCTGAAATGAGCAACCATTAACTGCATTTGGTTTTCAGCCCTGGTCTATAAAGTGTATTAAGTGTTTTCAGGTTGATCACATATTTTTTTTTTCCTTTTTTTTTTTTTTTTAAATTTAAGGTTGGGCGCAGTGGTTCATGCCTGTAATCCCAACACTTAGGGAGGCCAAGGTGAGGTGGATCACCTGAGGTCAGGAGTTCGACACCAGCCTTACCAACATGAAGAAACCCCGTCTCCACTAAAAATACAAAATTGGCTCGGTGTGGTGGCACGTGCCTATACGCCAAGCTACCTGGGAGTCTGAGGCAGGAGAATTGCTTAAACCCGGGAAGCGGAGGTTGCAGTGAGCCGAGATGGCGCCATTCCACTCCAGCCTGGGCAACAACAGCGAAACTCCATCTCAAAAAAAAAAAAAAAAAAAATTAGCCTGGTGTAATAGCATGGGCCCATAGTCCCACCTGCTTGGGAGGGTGAGGGAGCAGAATCACTTGAACATGGGAGATGGAGTTTGCAGTGAGCCAGGATTGTGTCACTGCACTCCAGCCGTGGTGACAGAGAGCAAAAAACCGAAAATTAAAACCCAATTTCCTAAGGTTCAACCAAATTCATTTCAACTTTTGCCTGTTTTTCTTACACAGTTAAAATAAGGATTCAGTATCCTTAGAAATACTATAGGCTTTTCTGTTTTAAATATAACATCTAAAAAACTGTAAATACAAATAAAAATTTACCATCTTCATAATTTTTTTTTTTTTGGAGATGGAGTTTCGCTCACCCAGGCTGGAGTGCAATGGCGCAATCTTGGCTCGGCGCAATCTTGGCTCACGGCAACCCCCGCCTCCTGGGTTCAGGCAATTCTCCTGCCTCAGCCTCCTGAGTAGCTGGGATTACAGGCACGCGCCACCATGCCCAGCTAATTTTTGGTATTTTTAGTAGAGACGGGGTTTCACCATGTTGACCAGGATGGTCTCGATCTCTTGACCTCATGATCCACCCGCCTCAGCCTCCCAAAGTGCTGGGATTACAGGCATGAGCCACCGTGCCCGGCCCCATAATTGTTAAGTCTAAAGTTCAGTGGTATTAGATACATTCCTATTATTTTGCAATATCATAGCCTTTTTTTTTCCTTTGAGACAGAGTCCTGCTCTGTCCCCCAGGCTGGAGTGCAGTGGCCCAATCCCGGCTCACTGCAACCTACGCCTCCCCGGGTTCAAATGAGTCTCCTGCTTCAGCCTCCTGAGTAGCTGGGATTACAGGCGCCTGCCACCTCACCCAGCTAATTTTTGTATTTTCAGTAGAGATGGGGTTTTGCCATTTTGGCCAGGCTGGTCTTGAACTCTTGATATCAGGTGATCCACCCGCCTTGGCGTCCCAAAGTGCCGGGTTACATGTGTGAGTCACCCCACCCGGCCACTATAGCCTTTTAATCTTCTAAATTGTTTGGAAATGTACCTAAAAATGATCTGAAAAAAATTTTTCCTTACACTTTAATATGTGAACTCTTTGAGTTTTTTTGTTTGAGACCGATTTCTCTCTGTGGCCTGGCCCATGTTGGCCAGGTTGGTCTCAAACTCTTCAGCTCAGGTGATCCGCCCGCCTCGGCCTCCCAAAGAGCTGGTATTACAGGCGTGAGCCATTGCACCCGGCCGAGCTTGAGGGTTTTAACGAACATCGCATAAATCTTCAGATTGCACGAGTCAGGAGATCGAAACCATCCTGGTCAACGTGGTGAAACCCCGTCTCTACTAAAAATACAAAAAATTAGCTGGGCATGGTGGCGCGTGCCTGTAATCCCAGCTACTCAGGAGGCTGAGGCAGGAGAATTGCCTGAACCCAGGGGGTGGAGGCTGCGGTGAGCTGAGATCGCGCCATTGCACTCCAGCCTGGGTAACAAGAGCGAAACTCCGTCTCAAAAAAGAAAAAAGAAAAGAAAAAATCTTCGAGCAAAGTTCCTGCCCAATGCCAGGTTTCCGGTTTGGCCTGCCCCAGGCCAGGTCTCCGGATGCCCAGTCCCCGAGGCGGGGCCTCCACCGCGCCGTGCCCACGCGGGACAGTGCGATGACGTCACAGCCGCGGACCCCGCGCCCACGTAGGCCTCAGCCCCACAGAACTGGGGCTCAGTCCCCCGCTTGCCCTGCAAGGCTGAGGCTGCGCGCTCAACTCCACCTTCTGGCCAGAGGACAAGGGGTTGTTCCGTGGGGAAACCGAGTTTGGATTTCCCACGCCCGTCCGGGAGGGAGGAGGACGCGGGAGGGGCGGCCGAGTTGCAGAGAGATGCGGGGTCTGCCACGGACTGAAGCGCGTTCACACAGAAACCAGTGTCCCCGCCGGGCAGGACATCCACGGGTGTTCGCTACATGCCCGTCTTTCGGGCAGCAGGGGTTGGGTCCTAGGGAACTATCCAATCAGGACAGACAGAGGCAGGCAGCCTAGACAACTGTCCAATCAGGGACGCCCAGTTGATATCCGGGGACCTGCCCAATTTATAGAATCAGGGAACGGACCGGGAAATTGTCCAATCAGGGTTGCTGACGTTGGCAGCAATGTCCAATCAGAGGCGTGGCTTCCCGAGCTCTGTCCAATCAGACCTCCGGGACGGGATGTGTCTGTCGTCCTGCCTCGAGTGCCCCGCCTGCCCCTAGCGGTCCCCGGCGTCCGGGTTCCAGTCACGCTCACTTGCGCCGGTCGCGGAGAAATCGTTCCGGGACATGGTAAGTGCCGCGCGGGAGACGTTGCCGGGCGGGGCGGGGGGGCGGGAACCGGTGTCCACCTGAGACCGCGGCCGGGCGGGGCTCGGGGACGCGCGGGGCGGTCCCCGCGAGGGCGGAGCTGGACGAGCGCCTGGGCCCAGGGTCCCGCGCGGCCCCTCCTCCCACGCTGAGGCTGCGGCCGGGGCGCTTCGAGGTCCAGGTCCCCGTCCACCCCCGGCCCTGAGGCTGCAGAGCGGAAAGCGGCGCCCGGAGCTCGACCGCGGCCCCGTGGTCCCTGGGCCCCTTCGTCCCTGCGCTCCCGACCCCCATTCCCGCCCCCGGTCGCGGCGCCTCCGAGCGTTTGGCTGCGGCTTCGGGGCGCCGGGACCGCGGTAGGCAGGGTCGCCCGAGATCCCCCGGTGCGCTCCTGGCTCCCCTCCCCGAACCCGCCCTGGGCCGACGCCGCGGGGCCTCCTAGGGTGCGGGTCGGGAGTCGGTGCCGTCTCCTCCGGCGCTCTCGGGGCTCAGCTCCTGGGAGGCTCCACGCCCCCGGCCGCGGTGTCTGGGGCACCCCGGCTTCCTCCGGGGACAGGCCGGGAGCAGTAGGACCTCAGCGAGCCGGCGGGAGCGTTCTGGCGCCTCCAACCTGCAGAGGCCTCAGCCCCCGCTCGCCTCCACCTCCTGGCCGGGCGAGGGGTCGCTCCGTGGAGAAACTGAGTCTGCAGTTCCCAAGTCCATCCGGAAGGAGGACGCTGGAGGAGCGACCCAGCTTCGGGGAGAGGAGGGGCCCGCCCCGGGATGGAGCCAGTTCGCCCACAAGCCAGTTGGTCGCGCCAGGTTTCGTCCCCTAAATCCCGGTTTCCTTCTTGGGCACTTCTTGTCCCCTCTGACCCCAAGATGTCTGGGATAGGTAAGGGGGAAAAGCAAGTGTTCCTGGCCCCTGGGTTCTTACACCAAGGAAGAAAGGTCACTGAAGAGACCAATGAAACCCACACCCGAGAGGGAGAGCAAGGACCCCAAAAGCAAATGCGTGCAGACCCACAGTGCAGACGCCTGGGAGGCTGGGGCATTCGTGTCCAGTAGCCACTGACCGCAAACGAAGGATAAAAACCACGGAAATGTCTCCTTTCACAATTCCCTGGAAAGTGTGTAGGAAGCGTCTCAGGTCTGTTCTGGGGAATAGCAAATGGGATTCCTGGCCGAGGACTATCACCTGAGTTGGTGGCAGGGGTTCCTCCTCGTGGTAGCCTGACCCCTCCCTGGACTTGTCACTGTGAAAAGATTTTGTTCACTTACTGGTGCCTCCGTTTTTAGTAAATGAAACTTTCATTGCGCCGGGCGCGGTGGCTCACGCCTGTAATCCCAGCACTTTGGGAGGCTGAGGCGGGTGGATCACGAGGTCAAGAGATCGAGACCATCCTGGTCAACATGGTGAAACCCCGTCTCTACTAAAAATACAAAAAAAATTAGCTGGGCATGGTGGCACGTGCCTGTAATCCCAGCTACTCAGGAGGCTGAGGCAGGAGAATTGCCTGAACCCAGGAGGCAGAGGTTGCGGTGAGCCGAGATCGCGCCATTGCACTTCAGCCTGGGTAACAAGAGCGAAACTCCGTCTCAAAAAAAAAAAAAAAAAAAAAAACTTTCATTTAATTCATAGAACTTGGAAGATAATATATTTCCAGGCCGGGCGTGGTAGATCACACCTGTAATCGCAGCACTTTGGGAGGCCGAGGCGGGCGGATCACTTGAGGTCAGGAGTTGGAGACCAGCCTGGCCAACATGGTGAAACCCATCCCTGCTAAAACTACAAAAATTAGCCATGCGTGGTGGCAGATGCCTGTAGTCCCAGCTACTCGGGAGGCTGAGGCAGGAGAATCACTTGAACCCCAGAGGTGGAGGTTGTGACTCTGCACTCTAGCCTGGGCGATGAAGTGAGACTGTGTCAAAAAAAAAAAAATTGTCCTGGCGCGGTAGTTCACGCCTGTAATCCCAGCATTTTGGGAGGCCTTGGCAGGCAGATCACAAGGTCAGGAGATCGAGACCATCCTGGCCAACATGATAAAACCCCGTCTCTACTAAAAATACAAAAATCAACTGAATGTGGTGGCACTAGCCTGTAATCCCAGCTACTCAGGAGGCTGAGGCAGGAGAATCACTTGAAGCCAGGAGGCGGAGATTGTAGTGAGCCGAGATTGCACCACTGCAGTTCCAGTCTGGTGACAGAGTGAGACTCCGTCTCAAAAAAATAAAAAAATTTCCAACGCGGTGAATTTCAGGAAAAAAATTAAAATGTTTGTCTTATATTCCACATGTGAAACATCGCCTGGAGAGGGGGTGTGTAACTTTCTCAGATCTGTTACCTTTTCTTTTATTACTGTTATTTCTTTGGATCACAGCTCAGTGCAGCCTCCACCTCCTTGACTCAAGTGATCCTCCTCCCTCAGCCTCCTGAACACAGGGACTCCAGACGTGGGCCACCGTGCCTAAGTTTTTGTAATTTTTTTTTTTTTAAGGGATGAGGTCTCACTATGTTGCCCATGCTGGTCTCAAAGTCCTGAGCTCAAGTGATTCTCCCGCCTCTACCAGCCTTGTTCTTTTCTTTGCAAAAGGCCAACTTGGCCGGGTGCGGTGGTTCATGCCGGTAATCCCAGCACTTTGGAGGCCGAGGCGGGCGGATCACGAGGTTGAGATCGAGACCATCCTGGCCACCATGGTGAAACACTGTCTCTACTAAAGATACAACAATTAGCTGGGTATGGTGGCGCGCACTTGTAATCCCAGCAATTTGGGACTCTGCGGTGGAAGAATTGCTTGAATCTAGGAGGCGGAGGTTGCAGTGAGCTGAGATCGTGCCACTGCACTCCAGCCTGGTGACAGAGCAAGACTCCATCTTAAAAGAAAAAAAAAAATGGCCAACTTTGCAGGCAGGACAATCCAACAAATAGGATTCCAGGGCCTAGACTTCAAAATGTTACTGGGGAGAAGAAACTCAGAGATATAGAGAAAAATCTCCTTTCCACTATAGGTGCAGAAAAACGAATACATTTCCACAAAACATGTTGCAGGTAAATCATGAAAATTTACCAAAATAATGTTAATCTCCTTGACATAGTGGAGAATTTTTAGCAGTGTATGATTCTGTTTTGCTTCCAATACTCCAGTACCCTTTCCTTAATTCCGTAATATATTTTTTGTTGTTCCTGAAGTAGGTAGAATACAAGATACTTTTCTTGTTTAGCTGACAATTTGTGGTGGCTCCATATATTAAAACGTTCAGCTCCTGCTCTGCTGGCCCTGGCACTCACCTGATTTCCCCGTACACAGGGGCTGCCTCAGGGCTGTGTTCCTTTGCTTTTTTTTTTGCGACAGGGTCTCACTCTGCTCCCTAGGCTGGAGTGCAGTGGTGCTGTCTCGGCTCACTGCAGTGTCTGGCTCTTGGGTTGAAGCAATTCTCCTGCCTCAGCCTCTTAAGCAGCTGGGACTATAGGTATCTGCCACCACACCTGCCTAACTTTATTGTTTTTGTTTGTTTGTTTGTTTGTTTTGAGAGGCTGTTTGGCTCTTGTCGCCCCGGCCGGAGTGCAATGGCAGGATCTCGGCTCACTGCACCCTCCGCCTCCTGGGTTCAAGCAATTCTCCTGCCTCAGCCCCCCGAGTAGTTGGGATTACAGGCACCTGCCACCACGCCCAGCTAATTTTTGTAGTTTTAGTAGAGTTGGGGTTTCACCATGTTGGCCAGGCTGGTCTTGAACTCCTGACCTCAGTGATCTGCCCTCCTCAGCTACCCAAAGTGCTGGGATTACAGGTGTGAGCCATTGCACTTGGCCATATGTATGTATTTGTTTTGGCATTTCTAGTAGAGGCGGGGTTTCGCCGTGTTGGCCAGGTGAGTCTCGAACTCCTGATCTGCCTGCCTTGGACTCCCAGAGTGCTGAGATGACAGACGTGAGCCACCGTGCCTGGCCCTTCTACAAAATTATTATGGAAGGACCCTGTGAAGCAGGACGGCATTACTGATTTCACTGGTGCTCTTCCGGATCCTGGACTGACTGAGCCAGTTGAATAATGGCCACTCCGACTGGTGTGAGAGTCCACTGACTGCAGTGGAATTGTTATTTTCATTTCAGACTCCTAGGGCATGTGCAGGTTTCTTTCAAGGGTATACTGCATGATGCTGAGGTTTGGGCTTCCATTGATCTTGTCACCCAGATAGTGGACATAGTAGCCACGAGGGGGTTGTTCAGCCCTTTCCCCCTCGGTCCTTCCATGTGGAATCCCTGGCGTCTGTTGTTTCTACTTTTTTGTCTGTGAATTAAACGCCATGTTTTTTCAGCCCCGGGACGAAGTTCCATGGTCCTGGGGAAAGGGGCCAGAGAAGTCGCGCTGACTTCCTGGGGTCGGGGGTTATGGCTATGAGGAACGAGCAACAGCTGGGTGCTCTGATTGGGTCCAGGGGAGCGGGATTGAGACGGGGCGGGCCGCTATTGGTTGGCGGGTTGTTGGGCGGGTTTTCCGGTGAGAGAGCCGGCCAGGGTTGCATTAGCCGGAGCCTTCCAGAGGAGCCATGTGGCACAGCTAGGTGGCAGAGCTAGGTGCCGAGTGCAGAGCATGGTGCCCGGTGCAGAGTCAGGTGCTGAGTGCAGAGGTGGGTGTGTCCGGCCTCCAGGTGAAGCAGCCGGCCTTAGAACTTCCTTCTTTTTCATGGTTGTGTAATATTCCATGGTGGGTATGTTCCACATTTTCTGTAATCCACTGGCTGTGGTCACCTAGGTTGATTCCATGTCTGTTGGGTACCAGCCCAACCCCATACGTGGATGCCCTTAGTCCTGGCGGTAGGGAGGGATTGAGAAAAGGAAATAAAGACAGAGACACAGTAGAATTTACAGCATTAGTCCAGGGGACCAGCGCAAGTGTGGAAAACACATTGGCCCCGAGCTCTGGGCTCCATACAATTTTATTATGTGTATAATCTCATTGATCTTATGGGCGTGGAAGGGGAGGGTGAAGGGGTAGGTAAGGTA